TGATGATATAAGGGTAGTCTACACATTGTGGACGACTAGCACGTCATCTACACTACAGGTCACACCACTTAGCTATATTGTTTTTCACTATAAACATCTTAAATCTCCAAATATTGATTTTAAAAAAACGTTGGTAATGGTTTTGGATTTTATAAACTTTTATTTTTCGAACTTCCCGCTCTTGTCAGCTACACTGACTTAATTGTCATGTGTCACTCTAAAGGGAAACCACAATTAAAAACGTGCAACCATACACAAAATGGCTGCACATCATTCATCACCATGTTGGTCTTCCACAAAATTTAAAGAAATTTTAATTTAAACTTAAAAAACATCTTTCGATGTGATTGTAATTTGAAAAGACACAGCCTTTGCATAGAGTACCAGTAAAAACCAAAGATCTTCCGATATTTTAAAGTGTTAATTTTTAATTTGTAATGTGATGTTTTCGTTCCTTTACACCTATATGTTCAACGAGAAGACTCTTTGTACAAACCTGACGAAGTGAGTAAATCTACTTTCTTTAGTAATTATTTTCTTTCTTTTTGGAATATTTTAAATTAATTTAGATTAAATTTTCCAAGATTTTTCAGATATTTTTCAAAAATTTCAAAAATTTCAAATTTCCAAAATTTCCAAACTTTCATATATTTTTCCAGTATCTTCAGAAAGTGTTTTTCCTTACTTTCAGGTTGCACTGATGATGGCCACGGCCGAAAGCGCTTTGCACTGATATTTATTAAAGAATTTTGCACGAAATACAAACTTTTTTCATTCTTCATCAAAAAAAATTAGCATATCGATACTGGTATCGAATATGGATTTAAAATATCGATGCCATTTGACGAGTATCGATATTTTTAAAATATCGTACCTATTTAGAATAGAAATATCGATAAGCGAAAATCTAGATTCTAATAAATATCAATCAAAAAATTTGGTGGTATGCGGTAAGCATTCCGACACAGAATAGATAACAGAATTAAGCAACAAAACACATCGATTCAAAATTTTTAGGTAGGGGATAGGTAAAATGGTTAATTCAAAGTTCTTTTAGAGTGCTTCAAGCCCTTTTAAAGTGCTTCAAGCTCTTTCAAAGTGCTTCAAGCCCTTTCAAAGTGCTTCAAGCCCTTTTAGAGTGCTTCAAGTCCTTTGAAAGTGCTTTAAGCTCCCAAAAGTGCTTCAAGCCCTCTAAAAGTAATTGAAGCTCATTGAAAGGGCTTGAATTACTTTTTTCAATTACAAATTACCAAGCACTTTTCTAAAGTAATTGACTTTGCAAGCCCCAATTACAAATATGTAAAAGGGCTTGAAGCACAGGGCTTTCAAGCCCTCGAAGTGCTTCAAGCACTTTTACAAGCACAAAGCACTCAAGCCCTGCCCAGCTCTGATACAAATATTGTGAAGGACTGCTTTTGTAATTTTTTTTATCTACAAGCGTTTGGTTATGACGTTTTTACATAACCATTTTTCTAGTAATTGAGTTATGTTATGAGACTCATAACACAACTAGTGGTGTTATAGACTTGGTTATGAATCCAAAACACAACTAGTGGTGTTATGGACGAGGTTATGAATCTATAACACAACTATTTTTGGTGATTTGACAAATGTCAAAGGTAAACCTGTAAAGGTAAAATGAAGGTAGACAACTACTAATAAACGAAATTAATTGAAAAAACATTCTTATTTCTCGCTTTGTAGATAAAACGTTGTACATCACACGTGCGTTTAAACATGACTACAAAACTCGTGTGATTAGAACGACTCGGTCTACGACCTCGTCGTTTTAATCTTTCACACTCGTTATTGTAATCATGTTCATAAACCCACTTGTAATGTAAATAACTATTATCGAATTTTTGACAGTAATGTGATATATAACTGCATTCAAAATTGAGTGGTAAATTGCCACTTTACCTCGATAGCAACACTTTACCACATAGCAACGTCATTGATAGCAATCATTTTGTAAATCAATTTTCATTTGTTAAGCCTTATTCACAGTGTGCGAAATTGCAGCATTTCGCAATTTCACGCCAATCAAATAAATTAAAAATAGGAAATAGTTATTTTATTTCTGGTTATTATAAAAATTGATAATAGAATTATTAACTTCTATTTTTTGCGTTTGCCGGATAGTCGAATCGGAATGTTGATCCAGGACAACCCCGCCTGAAACAATAAAAAGCGAACGTTCTTTAAAGTGTCGTGTAGAATAACCTTAAACCTTGACAATGTCAATGTCATGAAAACTAAAATTGTATTTCAAATTTCTATCAATATTTAGGAAAAAATATCTTATGAATACAGGATTTGAAACAGTTATATTTAATTGATTTACCTTTTCATAAAAAAAAAGCCAACATGAGGTCCTCATTTGGCACTTGTTCCACGTTATTCATTAATTTCCATTGACGGAATTGGTTATATTCTTTCTCATACTTTGATTTTGATTTCTCAGGCAGCAGCCTTGCTGTAGCAGCACGAGCTGCTTCCAAAATCGTCGGATTCATTTCACTTGGCGCCATAGACTGGACACGGTTCCGAAAATTCTTTCTGATTTTTTGTTTGAATAATGTCACTGGTTTCTAAGTTACCGAAAAGAAAAACCAGCCAGGCATGGGCCACCAGGCACAGGTCTGTTACGATTTCAAAAATTATGTTGTCTTGTCAAAAATAAGAACAAACTTGTTGCTTAATATACTATTTAAAGTCTGTTTCTTTTTTAAAGATAAAAGTCAAAATGACATTATGTTGGCAATACAATGTAAAATTGTCAAGCTTTCAAATTTTGTATGTAGAAAAGGCTTGTGTTGCCAACATAGTCACTAAATTTTTGACTTGGGGAATTATCTTTAAAAAAAAACACATTTTACTTGCAAGTTTCCTATTGACAGCTTTGTTTACAGAATCGTGACGTCAAAAAAGGTAGCCATCATGGAAGCATTGTTTTGGCGGGAAATTTTTTATTTCAAATTTAGTATTATTTTTTGTGTAACAAGAGCGGTATCAGTTAAATAAAAACTGGTCATATAAATATTGTGCAGTATACACTATCGATTTAAAACAAATTTGGAAAATTTTAATTCACTTGCAAGTTCCCTATTTTCAGTGGTTAAATTCCCAGAGAAGAGAAAACCGTTCAGCAAAAATCTGTCATTAGCTGACCGTCTATTATTCATCGATAGACTATCAAAATTTATGTTTTGAAATTTAGTTAAGAAATGTCATCTTTTTGACATTGACTTTAGTTGTCAAAAGTTGTTCATTTTAACACACACGCCAAAATAAGCAGGTGTTCTAATACAGTGTTAAAATGAGATCTCATTTCATCCCTGAGTGTTGGAATAGGATTAAGGGTGGATTTTCATGCATCCGTTTGTCCGACGAAATAGGTCCGAAAAATCTTCTATTTTGACATATTTTTATACGATTATGTCAGAATAGAATGTTTTTCGGACATCTTTCGTCGGACAAACGGATGCATGAAAATCCACCCTAAGAGTGCGTTCCGCGTGAGTGTTAAGATGAGTTTATAATGGCCGTTTCCACCAACTATTTTAGGGGAGCCCTAACGATAAGTATTCCCTAAAATGACATTTCATTTTTATATGGAAAAATGTCATTTTAGGGAATACTTATCGTTAGGGCCCCCCTAAAATAGTTGGTGGAAACGGCCATTATAAACTCATCTTAACACTCACGCGGAACGCACTCTTAGGGTGGATTTTCATGCATCCCCCAGATAACACAAAAATATATAAGAAGTACTTCAATTGTACCGCATTTCTACACTTGAATGCCTGAGAAGTACTTTGGAAATCCACTCAGCCGCTTCTGGGATGTCCAGCTGGCCGTTAAAAATTAGACACTATCGTAGAAGCACTCCACCGAGACACATTCATTGCGGGGTGCTCTAAAAGTGCTTTAAAAGTATTGCTAAAAAAAGTGCTTTTGAAGTAATGTTTATGTACTCATGAAAAGCTTTATAAATGCACTTTTCAGACAGAGGAGAAGCACTAATAATATTGTACTTCTAAAGTACTTTATTTAAGCACCATTCAAGTACTTTATTAGGGTGCTTTTAATTCACTCTAATTATACTGGGTATCCACACAGTGAGGAATCGTTCGATACCTGCCCAGGTGTGGCAGAGGAAAATACAAAGTTTGTTTGGCTTTGCCTGGCACATCTTACGAAAATTATTTTAATTCTACAGGTTATGTCAAAAATGCAGGATCAAAAGCGACTTTTTCTTTGATGGAAAACTTTTTGATTTTGCACACCTTGTTGCATTAAAAACTATTTTCGTAAGAGTGGCCAAGAGAATTCAAGCAAACTTTGTATTTGCCTTTTTTAAACTGTAACACCTGAGCGGGAATCAAACAATAGGTCACTATATGGGCACCTGTTGAACATAGAGCAAGAATATTTCAAATTTTGCCTTTTTGTATAAAATGTTGTTACGGGAATCATCCTGATATCAACAAAAATAAGAAAAACAAATAAATGTTTAATTTCACTTTAATGAAAAAAAAAAAAAAACACATTTCTGTTCAAATATAATTCCTCAAATAATTCTTTGGTAGCTGCTTATACATAGTGGATATCTATCCTACCTGGAAAAGACAAAGTGTACTTTAATAGTATATTCGTCTCATAAGAGCCAATTTTATAGCACGCGCGGATCTAGGAATCGGGCCACGCAGCTGGGAGTTTTCTATTTTGGTCAATATTTAATAAATACTTGGAAAATAAAAAAATAAATACCTGTTCAAATTTTTAATTTTATTTTGTTAAGTTTGGCATACACGTCACAGGCTATTGTTCAATCAATACAAAAAAAATAGAAATGCATAAAAAAGCAGTGGAATATTTTTTCTATGATAAGAATGGTGATAATTGTGAACATTTTAATAATTTTTGAAACATCAGAACAATATACCAATATAATTAGTTACACATAAAATGTGAAAATTACCTGATCCCTTATTCTACTAATTTTCCCTTGTTTGCCTTTTTGCTCGACCACCATCACGATCACAGGCATTTCGTAAATATTTTTTTGTCACTTGGTGCACTTCTAGCTCTGTGGCGTTCCTGGACAAAGGGTTTTTTCTCACGGCAACTGAAAATATACCACAGGTTGTCAACACATGGATGATGAAGGACTAGCTGTACTGGGTGATTGTGCACCCACGCCTATCTCACCTGTTTGAAGAGATACTTAGAAATGTCAAATGTGAAAGTTGTAGGTAATATCAGAAACTTTGCAACGAAGTTAGTTACAAGTATACAGGATGTGTCGCAAAAGTATGGCAAAGCAAAGTTAAACTTTTTAAAATGGAACACCTCATATATTACTTATTGACCTATTGGATTAGCATTTCAAGCTTGATTCCAAATATACCAAGTTTTTTAGGTTTATTCTTCATAGTCCGGCCTCTGAAAATCCAATTTTGAAGAGAAAATATGTATTTTTTACTTGAATGATTACTTTTATATTTTGCTGGTGGTCTCTATACCTACTTTACCATTTTCAATAAAAATGCAATTATTCTACCTATTTTTTTTATCATTTTCTCCTGGACTATTAGGAATAAACCTTAAAAACCTAGTATATTTGGAATCAGGTTATTCCATTCAAAAAAGTTCAACTTTGCTGTGCCACACTTTTGTGACAAACCCTTTATACTTATAACTAACTTCGTTGAAAACTTTCTGATATTACCTACAACTTTCAAATTTGACATTTCTTAGTATCTCTTCAAATAGGTGAGATAGGTGTGGGTGCAAAATATAAATAATCACCCGATACATTGCGATGAATGCTTGATCTGTCCTTTGGTGTACAAACACCTGCAAAAAACTGTCTCCACTTTCAGTTTCATAGCTTAATTGCGTGTTCCTACTCTAGATGTCCGTAGGACAGCACTTTACCTGAAGAGTGGTTTAGTTGAACTCAATTATTGGTATTTGAACTTTCTCATTTAAAATTAATTGCTGTCATAAATAAAAAAATCTCTGCCAATTTGAACAGACAGACAGGCGGCGCGACAAAAAAGTTTGAAAATCAACTAGAACCCAAAGATATATGAAATTTTTTGAAATCAGAGCAACTTTTTTTTAAATTTTTGCCACGATCACCATAGCTCACATTACTATAATATTGTATTCGTGTGAGCTAATATTTGACAGTAATGCATTTCAAATGGGAATGTTCAAATACCAGTTGATTTCAACTGAACCACTAATAGGGAACTTGCACATTAAATTAAATATGAAATAAATAATAAAATACAATAACAATCATCCTAATAAGTGATGCAATTAGGAAAAGGATATAATACCTTATCTCTGGTTTTCAAAATATTCAATTGAAAATACCAAATAATTCGAAATTCTTGACGAGATCAAAATAGCTATTTATACAATAAGTTACGAAATGAGCGTCTTTTAGGCACGCGACGTGAAAATTGTCCAACGAGGCAAAGCCGAGTTGGACAACACGTCGAGTGACTAAAAGACATCGTTTCGTAACGTATTGTATACAAGATTTTTTCTACTGGCATTTTATAATAAAAAAATACAATTTTATTTCATGTGAATAAGTCGATTACACCCAAAATCTTTTCATGCGACTTTCTTTTGACACTTTTCATGCGATTTTCTTTTGAAAATTCGACATCAATAATTAAAATCCTAGAAAGTAGGTAATAACACAAAGTTCTGTTTTGAGTAACCCAAACGTTCAATTCAGTAATTCCATTTTCAATATTCATAATAAATACAAAACAAAATTCAAATATGTGTTTAGTGTGTTTTTTATTTCTGAATAATGAATGACACTTTTAGGCACTAGTGCTTAAAAATTACTTTTACGCACTCATAAGTCACTTTTACGCATTCAAAAGTCACTTTTACGCACTGAGTGCCTAAAAGTAACTTTCACGCACTCAGTGCCTAAAAGAATGTCGTTTCAAAACTGAAATGACAATCGAAAAGTTGCTATTATGAAACGTCAGTAGAAAAACGTATTTCTATGGGTCCTGACGTCAAAGGGCAGTAATAATCGGGTCGCACTGCTGCCACGCCATGTGCTGCTGGTGTTGTCAATGTCAAATCTATCATAAACGGCATACATAACAACATAACCATAATCTAAATCTACCTGCTCGCAGGTCACTGTCAACCAAGGACTGTGAACAGAATTTTGTTGCTGAGTGACGTCACACTAATCGGTCGTTTCAAATGGCGATGTTTCGAGCGTAACTTCAAATATTTATAAAAAATTAACGGCTGATTTTTAATGCTTGATATTTGGCATGACTATATCTTTAGTGTAGTACAACGCATTTTTGAAATAAAAAAAAATGTGCAAGTTCCCTATTGCACCTAGAACGTATCAGGTGTTCAAAAAAAAAAACCAATCAAAGATTGCTTTGATTACGAAAACGTACATCGTATTACTGTTTCTTCATTGGTCAGGATTTTTGACATTACATTTTGACATTAAAGTTCATTGACAAAATTAAAGAAAAATATTGCTAAGACAATGTTTAAAAAACCAAAGCAATCTTTGATTGTTTTTTTAGAACACCCGATACAACTGGGCCTAACCTAAGAGTTTGATGTAAAATTAGTTCTTACCAAGTATTAACTTCATTATGTTTTCAAAAATACTGAAATTTTCTTTGGAATTTCTCCCAGTCCAATTGTACGTCATTGCTAAATCATTTTTTATAATTCTGGACAACATCCTTCTGGTGGTATCGACTACATCTTTTCCGCCTACTGTTTGTAGAAATAGGCACTAAAAAAAATATTTTTCACAATAAGGGAGAACTTTAAAAAATAATTATTCCTAAGAACCTTACAGTTGATTGAAAAGTATTGGGGTCACCCAGTGATTCATTTAATGTTTGCAATTCTTCTTTTGTTCCACATGGATGAAAGTTAGACTTGGCAAACTCTTTTCCTTCTTGAGCATTTTGTTGCTGACAGAGTAAAAGATATTTAATATCCTAGGCAATTTCTTCAATACGCTCCAAGAGTTGTGGTAGTAGCTCTAAAAACATTATTTATCATAAAAAAAAAGTTTCACTTATAGTCTCACCTTCAGTTTTTGCGCACCCATCACATAGGAACGTTTTATTTTTGTCATCTGCCAGCTTATCACTGGCCAGCTTGTTTGTCAATGTTACGTCCACGTCCACGTCCGATAAGGATACAATATGGCTAGTATCAGTTAAATCAAAACTTAAATTATCCAAAATTTACAGTTCTTGTTCAGAGTCATTAGAACTGATAGGGTTTGGATTTTTGATAGGCCTGAGTATCTTTAATTGCTTAGAAGGTGTCTCTTTGGGTTTATTCTTTTGTTGTGGAATTTTCAACGGTTGTGGAGCAGCTGGCAACTCGTCAGATTCATCACTTTCAGCACTTTCTACATTAAACTCTTCGTAACGCCTATTTTTTTGAATGTATCTTTTTTTATTATTTGGCAGCTTTATTTCAGCATCAGTTTCATCATCAGTTTGGGACACACTCGAGCAATCTTCAAGTTTCTTCATCTTTTCCACAGCCTGGGAATATAGCCCTGAAATTATAATTTAAGGAATTAGAAATAATCTATAACAATATTATTGAATTTGTTTTACACAAATTTCATGTAGGTGATCTTAACTTACTTGATTTATACTTAATATTAATTGGGCATTTTTCACTCAATTCAAAATCTATTTCGCCTTGATCAATAATCAGTTTATTAAGTTTGTTTTGATTTTGATATTTTGGCCAGTAGCAAAAAAAGAACGACTGTTCTTTAAATACCCAGCTTTTGGGTACAATTGCCATTGGCAGTTGGCCGTTGCACTCTTCATCTTTGAATTCAACTACAACATAGTAGTTGCTAAAAATAAATTAAAAATTATTGTAATTAATTTGTTTCTTACCAATTATTGAACTATGCAATGTAAAAGAGCAAAGCATGTAAAAATGTTATCTGAATTTTTCTTCGGAATCAACACTCCTTTATGCAAAATATTTCCGCTAATGGGTTCCAAGATTTGATTATTTTCTACCGTAACAATATATTTAAACATCATGTAACTTGACGTAGGATAATCTACTAATGGTTGGACAATTTTTATTTTATTGCCAATACAGTATACTATGTTATCAGATTTAACAAAAAGTAAAGCCTTTAAGATGACACCATTTTTCAAAAATATGCAATTATCTCTTGGTTTGATTGAAACAAATCCATTCTTGTAATGGAATTTTTCATAAAATTCACAGACACCTAAATTATTGTTCTTTATAATAGTTAATTGTTGTTTTTCTATTTCAGTTATGTTTTTAGATATTACTCTTTGGTCATTGTGAGTATTTATTCTTGATGATTGCCCTAGCTCTTTAGATCTTTTAATCACTTGTTCTATAGGCAAATGTGGTTTTCTGAGCATCCTTGTTAATGAACCCAAAAAATTTTCGAAAGTGAAGCAATTAATTGTATTAAGAGAACCAAATGCTTTTGCTTGCATTGGTAGATGGATAAGCGAATGGACATTGTAGACACAAAATGTTTTTCCATATATTTTAATTGAATGTTTCACAAACAATCGGAGTAATTGTTCTGCATATTCATTATGTTTATTTAATGTTTCATTCAGTAAAATGCTTATTCCAAAGCTCAATAACATAAAGTTTCCATAAATAAAGGTTGGCACATTTCCGTTTAGGACTACAGGACCAACATAGATCAAAAAGTTGCGTAACTCAGTGGCCTTCCAGTGTTCTAGTTGGTTAAGAGACTGAGGTTTTCTGTTAAATTCTACTGGCCAGTAATACTTTAATCTTTCGATTTCAATATTAATTTTGTTAATATCTTTAATCCCAAAAGATTTACCACTATCTCTCCATAAAAACAACATTTTCCTCATCACTCCTAAACATACACTGTGCATGTAGTCACCTGGAAAATTTGTTACCATTTTCAGACCTAGTCTTTCTAATGGAGATTCGCCTTTGTGATATGTTTCCATGGATTTAGTAGAAAACGACAAATCGGTTCTTAAATTTGAATCAAATATCAGTGAAAGTCATCCGTTTATCCAAGTATTCTCCCTTGACAAGGCAAAAGTCACATCCATTATAGCTGTTATGAGCCCTGACATTTTTAATGAAACACCTTGCAGGGGTGTCACAGCAAAATGTACGAATCACTACTGGAATCGATTTTTCCCCAATTTCAAATCCATTCTCTAATAAATATTTCATCTCATCTACTAGATTTTCAAAATATTCTTGCAAAGGCGGTTTGCTATTACCCATATACAAAGTCACAATGAATGGAACTTCTATAGTAGCTACTTTACAAAGAATTGGCCAAAATTGTTTCTTTGAACTTTTATGGAGGGGCACACCATCCACATTAAAAAACAGTTGAATGGTGTCACACTCAAATTTGTCATTGAAAACCATAGTTTTAAGTCCTTCAATCACACCAAAATGATAAAATTTTCCCAAGTTTGTACCAATGTTTTTAATATTCTTAACTACCCTAGGAGTTTTAAAAAGGGTTCTGGCATCTTGTGGCAATCTAGAACAATCCGGATTAGTCTTTATCCATTTTAATAGATCTGTCATAGCACAATGACTTATATTATATGTTTTTCCCCAATTTTGAAGGTATTCCTCAGCAGATTCACTTTTAATAGATTTCATGGGTTGGGCTTGGGCACTTGTATTTTCGAAAGCTATTTGACAAAATGGATGCTTTTGCATTCCTAAAATTCTTTTTAATGGACGGTTAATAACTTGGGAACTTGTACACGGAACGGTCTCAGGAGATGCAAATCCATTTGGATTATTTTCATTGGAATGGGTTAGTTTAGTAGATGTACCATATCTTTTTTCTCTGTTTTTTTCCAAATCCAATACTTTTACCAAGTCAGATACTTTTCGCCTTATATTCCGTTTACGTTGTTTCTCACTCAAACGCTTATAAATTCCACTGCAAATAAAGGAGAAGAAATAATAGTAGATTATATACCTAGGGACTAAAGTGACTATTTTTTTTATTCCGATGCGAAAAGTTTGTAGACCTCCCTTTGGTCGGGCTACAATTTATCGAGGGATAAATAGACACTTTAGTCCCAAGGTTTATTTATTTATATAGGTACCATTTCATGTACTTTAGGTTAGAACAAACTAAGTTAAAGAGAAAATAGTTGAATGCCCGTACATTTTCATCATTATCGCATATTTAATCCCAATAGGTTGTCACTTTCTGACAAATTTAAATCAAAAAAGCAGCTGTTGACAAAAGTATCATGAATGGTTACTATTAACTATTATAGCAGCCCAGAACAATAATACAAACGAATAATTTTTTTACTTTGTGTAGTGTGTATTCTTATTAAATAAACTGAAGCTTGTTTTGTTAAACAAAATTTGGTACGTATTTTTTAAACTAAGCAATAGAAATGCAAAAAAAAAGAAACATGACATTGAGCCAAGTGAATAAAATGTAGTAAATGCTTGTACTAGCGCATTCATGAGTAAATACTTAGGATTGAGTGAATAAAATATGGAGTATATTTGCTTTTACTTGAAAGACTCTACTTTACTGAATAGTAAATACTTTTCAGTGTTTATTACTTTTTATTCACTTGACTCATAGAATTTTTGTGTATTTTTGAAATTTTAACACTTTGAGGCTCTCGGTCATGAAATGGAAAAGTTATAGGGGTGAGCAGGTTTTGAAAAAACATCCGGTATATGTATATGAAATCACCAAAAATGCATTGGTTTCATAAGGTCGAATTCAAATTTTTGTTTTATAGAGAGTGTGTAGGTATCAAAAACCTAAAACTTCTTCCACAAATTCTCAACAGTGCTTGAAGTAGAGATTGTACAAAAAATCAAGGGACTGGATACTCGTCCGATAATCGGAATGATAGTGTTTTTGTTTCTATTCCGATTATCGGGCTACTAGTTTCTTATGTTATTATTCCGCAAAATAATTTAAGAATTTACCTATCACTGAGCCTAGTAGGCTCAGCCTACCACTTAATATATTATTTTCGGACTATTAGGATTTACTCATATTATTCCGAAAATTATTTTTCCTACGAGCGTGCGCAAAGTAGTACTTTTCCGCACGCATTTCGGTTCTCAAAGTTGCACTTTTCCGCACTCAGTGCGGATACAGGCCTTATCCGCACTGAGTGCCGAAAAGTAAAAATAATTGTCAAGCAACAATAAGTACACCTGTCGACTTTGACACATGATGACAAATTTTTCCTCTGTTCCTGTTCCAGCTAACATCTATACCTATAAACACCAAATTTAATTAACTTCAACGCATTGTCAGATTTGTTTTCTATATATATGCATCTACAAACTATCTCATCAAATTTATAGCATTTTCCATTTGTCGAAACAGGGCAAAAAAATGTATCCTTATCCTTACATGTTACATGCTTTTAGAAAAAGATGCGGATGCACTCAGTGCGGCACTGATGACAAATGGAAATCGCCATTAAACGCTTTAAGATGAAGAGCTCTGACGATGATTTTCTGTTATATTTTTTTTTTGTTATGTAATTTTTTGATAAATGCATAGGTTCCCTTCAAGTTAATTAAAAATAATTAAACAAATTATCGTTTTTTTTTTTAAATTTTTGTTGTTACCTACCTGATATGAAGCTCGTAGGAAAAATTTTGTTCCTAACACGTGCGCAAAGTGTCTTTTCCGCACGCAAACACGTATCCGAACTCCGCTTCGCGTCGTTCGTATAACTGTGTTTGCGTGCGGAAAAGTAACACTTTGCGCACTTGTTAGGAAAATAACTATTTCCTACAGCCGTGCGGAAAAATCGATTTTCCGCACTGATATGCGTGCGGAAAATGAGTTTTCCCGCACGGTGCGGTAAAACTTTTTTTTTGACATATCAGTTTTTCCGCACGGCTGTCAGTGCGGAAAAAATTTAACCGCACTGATATGTCAAAAAAAAAAAGAAAAATTTTACATTTTTTCGCCTG